TCAGAGTCGGATTTGAGTGAAACTAGTATGGTTGGACTCGTAATTGAATGAGTTGTCGAATTATATGAGTTTTGTCAGATTTTAAGACGTGGGCCCCACTACTGACGTTTCGAGAAGAGTCGGGAATATTTATAAATTGTTAAATTGTAAGCATTGGAGTATATTTTGATAAATTTGCACGTTGTTTGACTAGTTTCTAATCGTTTGGCTTGGAATTGAGGAGATAGGAAGTTGTTCGGAGGTTGATACACGCGGAATGGAATTTTTGGAGTATTGTTTAGCTTGCTCGGCAGTAGATTCGGCTTGTTCGAGGTAAGTAACACTTCTAAACTTGGTTCTGAGGGTACGAATCCCTGATTTTCGTGTTTTATGAATTGTTTGGAGGTTACGCACATGCTAGGTGACGGGCGTGCGGGCGTGCACCATATAAATTGTGACTTAATTGATTCTGTGGAGTTGCATAATCAAATAATCATGTCATTACCAACATATCCTCCACGTGTTAGAGGAAATCGAGCTGAGACTCATGTTAAAGATTATGTTTAGGCTACGTGCCAATATTTTTGGGACCCACAAGAGGTCTTATTTCTATTGAATTACTTGTTTAAATTTACAATTTTATATTCAGTCACATCTATGATTTGCATATCATATCTCAGTCTTTGTTGTCATTCATTGATACATCATATCATCATGTCGGGTTGATTTTCATGTCACTGAGAGCCCGAGAGACTGGAGATTTTGAGTGATATTTATGGGATGGGGCTACACGACGTAGCATGTTTTATTTATTTATGCATGGATCTGGCTATTATAGCGCTTGGGCTGAAGGAGCCCTTTTGGAGTCTGCACCCCCCACAGTGAGTGCGGTTCATTTATATTGAGGGATGGATCTTCCCTGGACATGAATCTTGTCTGAATCATTTATATACGTGGATGGATCTTCACTTACGTTGGATTGGCCTTATACAGTACTGATTGACTAATTGTCAGTTGATGTGTATATATACAGTATGGATCTTCCCTGGGCTAGATTGGCCATATACATTACTGAGTGATTGAGCATTTTGAGATCTTCCCTGGACATGGATCTTGTCCGAATCATTTATATCTGGGGATGGATCTTCCCTGGACATGGATCTTGTCCGAATCATTTATATCTGGGGATGGATCTTCCCCTAGGCTGAATTGGCCTTATACAATACTGATTGACTAATTGTTAGTTGATGTGTATATATACGACCTTATATAAATGTGACTGAATGTTACTGATTGACCGATTGAGATTGTGAGTGTATGAGATTTTCCATAGAGCTGCATCACATACAGCATGTACATTGGCATGTAGATATAGAGATGTCATATTCCTCATATCATTCAGAGTTGATCTATTTTATTTGTACTGAGTTTAACTGTTGAACTTTAAAGCATGCCTACATTTCTGTATTGTTATTTCTATAATGGACTGTACATGTAGATCTTGTCACTACTTTCAGCCCAAAGGTTAGTCTTGTTACTTATTGAGTACATGGGGTCGGTTGTACTCATACTACACTTTTGTACCTTGCGTGCAGATTTTTGATAATTGATGTAGATGCGTACCACGGGAGGTGGATCTGAAGATGTACCTACGTTCCAGTCATTGTTGCCTTTTGTTCATGATAGCTTTAGAATTTTTAATTTATTCATGTATACTTTAGACAGATGGCGTATTTTTATTTCACACCAGCTTTGTAAACTATAATATGAGTATATCAGAAAACTATGATTTTTCCCAAAAACTTTCAACATCAGATAAGATATTTCATTCTCAGATAGCATGAGGAATGTACATCTCTATGTCTACATGTCAATGTGCATGTGAAGTCATGAATGTCAATAAAACCTGATACGGCATGCAGTCCAATCCCATCATGAATCAATAAAATTTGTTGTGGTGTGCATCTCTTTCATATCATGAATCAATAAAATCTGTTGTGGCGTACATCCTGATCCCATCTATAACACACAATCTGGCCCTCAGGCCCCAACATAATCATCAATCTCTCTTGTCTCTCGGGCTCACAAATCTCATGCCAATATGCCCAAAAATTGATAACATGATGTGACAAAAAATGATAACGGAGACTGAGATGTGGTATGCAATGAATGAATATGACAGAGAATGTAATTGCAATTTAAGCAAATAACTCAACAACAGAGATGATGTAACGACATGATCGGTCGTTTTGATTATTTTAGCCACAATCTCCTGTTTATTGTCTCCTCTATGTTATACTGTGGTTACGCGACTTGTCGGGGGTGTTTTGTTTTGGTTTCGAGTGAGTTTCGGAGTGGAATAGGACATATAGTCCCTAAGTTGGAGCCTTAAGTTGAAAGAGTTGACCATAGTTTGACTTTTATATAGATAACTCCAAAATAGAGTTTTGGCGGTTCCAATAGCTCCGTATGGTAATTTTGGACTTAGGAGCATGTCCGGATGTTGATTTGGAGGTATGTATGTCGTTTCATCATGAATTGGCGAAAGTTGGAGAGTTAAAAATTTGGGAGGTTGAAAGGTTTAACCAGGAGTTGACTTTATTGACATCGGGTTCGGATTCTTATTCCGGAAGATGGAATAGGTTCGCCATGTCATTTATGACTTGTGTACAAAATTTGAAGTCAATTGGGATTGTTCTGGTATGAATCGGCATTTGTTTTGGAAATCGGAAGTTCATAGTTTCATAGACTTGAATTGAGTTGCGATTCGTAGAATCGATGTTGTTTGATATGATTTTTGGCTTTGAGTAGACCCGTTATACATTTTGAAAATTGTTGGTATATTCGGACGGGGCCCCTGGGGCGCCGGGTGTGATTTAGATTGAAACTGGATAAAAAAATTGGACTTGATCATGTTGCTGAAGCATCAGCCCTTCTGGTGTAATCGCACCTGCTGAGGGATTGGTCGCAGGTGAGGACTCATGGGTACGAGTGGTGAAGCATAGAACTCGAGTAGGCTGCCCAAGTCTGGGCTCACAGGCGCGAACACTTGGGCGTAGGTGCGCCTCTGCAGGCGCAGACTTGTCTTCCGCAGAAGCAGAATTTGGAGAGAGGCTTTGGGGCAGGACGACAGGTGCAGTTGTTTTCTCCGCAGAAGGAGGATTGCAGGTGCGAGCAGTTGTCCGCAGAATCAGAACCTCTGGACTTTAGTGGGAACCATACCTGTGATGGATGTTTTGCAGGTGCGACGTCACATATGCGACTGGGTGACCACAAATGCGGATTCACTAGGTAGAAAAGGCCTAAGTTCGAGGGTTTGATTCATTATCCATTTTTGGACCTAGAGAGTTCAGTTTGTGGTTCTTTTTTGAGAGTTTTTCAAGGAAATCATTGGGGTAAGAAATTCTAAATCGGTTTTGTCTATATTACACGAATCTATTGTTGTTTTCATCATTTAATTAGTGTTTTGAGTTGGAAATTTGGAAAAATATTTGTGAAACTTCTTAGGCTAAAATTTTTGGGATTTGGAAGGCGATTTGAGGTCGGATTTGATTGATTATTATATGGTTGAAATCGTTATCGAATGGGTGTTCGAATTTTATAATTTTGGTCGGGTTCCGAGACGCGGGCCTTGATTGACTTTGTGATTTCACTTTTTCTTTCTGTGTAAAGATCGTAACTTTATTGTTAAAAATAGTTTCCTATAGTTTATATTTATGGTATGAAGTTATTTTGGCTAGATTCGAGTCATTCGGAGATGGATAATTAAGGGAAAGACCTACTAGTGGATTAAGTTTGTGTGTTTTGAGGTAAGTGTCTTGCATAACATTGTGTGGGAAAATTAGCCCTTAGGATTGGTGTTGTTCGTGATAATTTTGATGTGTGAAAGCCATGTACGCAAGTTGGCAAGTATGTGCACGGGCTAAATATGAAAATTACCCATGTCAGCTATGTAGATTCCTTTCATTCCTTATTTGAGTTACCTTAACATGTTACATCATCAGGCTATCTTCACATGCTCTACTTGTCTTATCTCTTACTTGTTAATCGCTCTACATGTTTAGTTGAAGTTGTTGTTTCCTTCATTCCTTATTTATTATTTAACCGTGAATTCTTTATTTGAAGTTGTCATTCTTGGAGTATCTTGTTATTGAAATTGGTATTGAGTTATAAAGGTTGTAATTTACTTTGAGGCAAAGTTGCAGAGTTGAGAAACACTATTCTTGTTGAGTTACTCACTTCCGGTTATTATTGTTGATACTCTTGTGCATGTTATGGTTGAGCCATGAGATACTTGTTGTGAAAGCACTATTGTTGTTGGTTTCTGGGCAAGTTGCGATATTAGGTGCTTGAGGTGCGATTTGTGATATATTGTGATATTGATATGCATGCGGTTGTATAAGGTTTTGGGATTGAAACGCATGCAATGAGATAAAGTGGGCTTGATATGCGTGTTGCTAGTAGGAGAACTATTTGAGGTCACGCGGTGTGATAAGGTGATCTAAAACGCGGGAAGCTATTTTGGGAAAATGATTTTCAAAAATAAATGCAATCACTATAAAAAAAAAAAAGCCAAATTGCGACAGTTATTTTTACAAATTACAGTGGTCCGTAACTCCCGTAATTTGTAGTTGCAGCGGTTCACAAAACTCCTACAAGAAGGCTCGCCGCAATCAAATTGCAGTAGTTCTACCGCGACTGCATTAATTAATTAGCAGTAATTAATTTGTGGTAGTTCAACCACCGTAAATTGATTATTAAATTATTAAAAAATTTATATTTTTTAAAAGTTCCGGCAGTCTGAACCTGTGCAACATAGGAAATAATTATTTAACAATACAAAAAGTGCGGCGGTCAAAACTCACGCAATTCATTGAACGTATTAATTTCTTTTACTGCATTTTTTACAAATATTGAACTTTGAATATTATCTACTTATGAACCTATACACACCATAATCTAACCAAAAAAGATATATATATCAACACTTAGAAATATCAACATATTTAGCATCACAAAAGTGTTACTTTCATATATAAAGTAATTCAGTAGTTTTCAAACTAAATTTTAACATAAAATATTCACCCTAGCCATTCTAACATCCGCTCCAATCACGTAATTACATTGTCATAATTAATTATCTAATATTCAATTATAAAGAACTTCAATTGTTGTCACCTGAATTACTGCCATCAGATGATCTTCTTGCGTCCATGGGTGATAGAGATCCACTAGTTGCATCTCTTGGCTGCAAACAAAATAAAATAATAAGATCTTTTGAATGCTAATTATAACTTGAGCTATTTCTTGAATAAAAATCTGAACCAATTCCATACTTTATTCTCTAGTCAAAATTTTAAAACGCGTGATACTAGGAATTCAGCAGTACACATACATAACTATAATCCCAGAAACAAGAAAGTTTCAACATGAATAAAGTACAATCGATCCACTAAAGAAGTGCGGAGAAAGAAGATCTTTAGTTTTTTTTATATCAGTTGCTCCTGATGCAAATAATATCAGTTGAAAAAAAACCCAGAAGTTTATTTACCATTGTAGGAGGAGAAGCAAAGAACCTCGTAAATTGTTCTGGTATTGTCCCTTCTTTCATTATCATATATGCCTTGAAAGCATTCGTCATTTGTTTGTGTGAATTCACTATTTCTTTGTAGTTCTCTTGGCTTTGGTTGTGAGCATTCAACAATTTATTGAAGTTCTCTTAGCAATGGTTCAAACATGAAGCATCACTACTTAAAGCATTCATACCACCAAAACGAGGTCTTGCATGTTTAAAAACTTTGTTGGGACAGCTCCTAATCCTAAGCACCTTACCCTTCCAGAGTGCCCTTTTCCTAGCACTTTAACAACAACAGCATTCGGCAAAACTCCAGACTCATCCACCGTGCTTTGGCTCAAAGCAAGTTCAATTTTTTCCTAAATATTATTTATCACAACATTAATAAGTAACTAAATACACACTAAGACAAGCAAAAAAGAGATAGCTGCTGAAATGCATCAAGCCAGATACTTTAAAACTATAAAATACACCTAAATACAAAAGCAACACCAAAAAAGAACTTCATCCTTATAGGTCTCATTGTAAGTAAAATGAACTTAAAAGATACATGATGATTTTTTAGAACTATATGGTGGTCTAGTTCATTTTACTGACTCCTTTTGCATTTGAATAAGCAAGATCAGTACTTAATACTCTGCGGCGGAACTACCTATTATTTCTGCACAAGCTGAAGCAGTAAATAGTTAAACATACACTAACAACTTGTTTCCTTTCCTTTTTATATTTGCAGAGGGGAGAAGGCATTTTGTAGTGGAAGATTCTGGGAAAAGCATGTAATGAAGTTTGTTAGTGAAGAGGGTAATCTGCCTAAAGGCACAATACATGCACGGATTCACACAGCAATTCCAACTCTTGTACTAGTAATAATTATGCAGCTGTACTAATACCCTTTATACTATGAAACCAACTCTTGTACTAGTAATAATTAAACAATAGAAGAGATTTACAAAAAATTGGACTGGTCAAAAAGATAATGTTATTTCCAAGAAAAAACAGAGAATGTTTCAAACAAGAAAGAAAGAAACAAAAGTGTACGACTTATTTGACATTACAACCCATCGGTAAATATCAAAAAAGAATCTACAAGAACCAAATTTCAAAAAAAAAAAAATTCTAACATCTTAAACACCTCATAAACTATATCATAATATATATTACACACAAAATTTCAGACACCCCATTTCAAACAATGATCATAATACACACACACACATACATTAAGAAAAGAATATGTTTGCAAAACACAGATCATGCATCCAACTAGTCAAAAAACAGAATTTCAAGAACTACTACCATTATTTTCATAAGAAACCAATACAGAGAATCAATAAAAAAGAAAAGGAGTTTTTTTTACCTCAATGCAAGAAGCTGAGTGAATCAAGAATATGGAAATGAAGGAAATATACACAAAAACAGATTAATGGTGAATTAATATTTATGGAACAAGAGAAATCAATTGGCTGTCTCTTGTTCTTCTGAAACAAATTTCCTTTTTTTCTGAGCTATTCTTGTTGTGTTATCACATCAGATAGGTACTATGATTAATGAATCCTTTCTTATTGTAGGAGATTTTAATATTATCCTCTCAGTACATAATAGACTGAATGGACTAAAATAATCAGACACCATCAACTTTCAAAGACGTATACAAGATATTGAACTTGGCCAAATCAATAGGAAAGGGAGTTAATACTCTTAGAGTAATAAAAGAGATGCAGAAGAGAGAACCTATAGTTTAGTAGATTGAGCTTTCTGTAATGACCAATAGTTTCTAATGTATAGTAGATTGGAAGCATTTTACCACAATCTAGAATGCTCATACCATACCAAAATTATTATTGAAGCTAATATAGCTAAATAATACATCTCTACGTTATTTCGATTACTCAATGTGCTGTTGCAACATGAAAAATTCAAAGGGTGTTGTTCAAGACATATGGGAGTAGAACATTCATGGGAATACCATATATAGAGTCTGGAAGAAGCTGAAACTACTTGAATTAGCCACAAGACAGATGAATAGAGAGATGCTATTTCCGAAAAGTAGAATGAGGGAGATTCAACTGAATAACTGTCAGACCATAATGCACATTCCAACTGAATAAGTGCCAGACCATAATGCACATTCCAACTGAATTTGCGACCAATTTGTAACACAATTTGGTACTTTTGACACACACAATAATAGTGAATCAGACAGATACATATATTAGATTTCATACCCAAAAAGAAAAAATAACCTTCAACAATCACAAAGATAAAGAACAAACTTACACATATCTCCTTTGCCGCCTTATTCACATATGTTCCATCTTATTTCTTATGAGTATCAAAATAAAGTTGTGCGTGTCCAGGCCTTCGTCCAGTCTCAACCATCTACAAATAAAATAACCAACGGAATAACTTAACTGGAATAGTTACATAAGTTAGTTTAATAATTAAAGTAAAATGACATGAATTAACATCTTTCACCATTTCAGCCCCTCTTCTGGAGTTAGGTTTGGAGCCACCTATATGTAAATGTTTGTTTCTTTCGAATTTCAGTATTCCTTTTGCACATTTCCTTACAAAAAAAAATACTTGAAAGCCAATCACACAAATAACTAAATATAATCAAACATACAAGTTGAAGTAATTAAATAAATACCAAAATTATTTCTTTAAAATGGTAATCAACAAACGAAGTCCACTGATCCCGTGGAATCCCAGCCGGAATATTTTCCATAATCTGAGCTTTACTTTTGAGTGGATAGAATGCTCTCCACAAGTTTAGCCTATCCGCGCTCCACTTTTTCCAAATAGAATTATAAACATAACCTCGTGCAACTGACTCGACTGTCTTAAACAAAATCGTTGCTTCAAGAATAAAACATTGGTTAGCTTATCTGTTACATGCAAATATGAAGTCCAACAATAAAATAGACGTGTAGCAGAAAGAATTAGAGCTTATACCTTTACACTTAGATCAAATACATGGTCGAAGTATGATATAGGTAAATCTGACCATTTCTCAAAGAGAATTGGAAATAAGGAGAAGTCAGTTGCCAAAATTCCACAAAAGCCAGCAAGAAGGCCTTGTGCTTCTCCAAATGGTTCGTCCAGGTAATCGAATTCAAGCACGATGCGCTCTTCACCAGATAAATTTAGAACATCCCTAACTTTCACTTTGAGCCTCTTCCTATTTTCTTCTGAATTTTTAATTTAAAAAAAGCCAAGTTTAAACAAACAGAAAAAAATAATTACATATATATGTTACTTTACATTAGTACCAGTGTTGTGGGAAGTTAAAAGAGAGAAAAAGTGATAAGTCCCTTTTGGAATTTTTTGGCAGAGAAGAAGAAGAATAAAAAGGAAAAAATAAGAGAAAATTAAAAATAAACCAGCAACATTTTGGGTACATTTAGCAGAGAAGAAGAAGAAGAAGAAGAAAAAAAAATTTTAAAAATAAACCAGCAGCAATTTGGGAACTTTTAGCAAAGAAGAAGAAGAAAGTTTACCTATAGCATCTACAGTCCAATGTTGCATCGACTCACGTTCAATATGCTTTCTGGATGGTGCAGGGTGTGATGCGACCTGAACTGATGAAGTCGGCTATGATACGGCCTGAAAGGACGAAGTCGATTGTGATGCGGTCTGAAAGGACGAAGTCGGCTGTGATGCGGACGGAAAGGATGAAGTCGGTTGTGATGCGACTTGAACCAAAGGAGCCAATTGTGATGTGGCCTGAACTGACAAACCGAACTGTGATGTAGCCTGAACCGATGAAGCCGTCTTTGTTGTTGCCTGAACTGACGGGGCTGGTTGTGCATTCCCCTGATTTGACATTTTGAAGTTCTGCCAATGCTTGGTCTTCGTTATATCTGTAATTAAGAAAAGATAAGCAAATTAAATAAATACTGAGATACAATCAATATGCTGAGAACAATAAAATAAATACTAGGAACAGGTTACCAAAAAATAGAATATTTTATGATCACTTCAACATATGATATAAACATTGAACTATCATAGATGAAACAAAACATCACGATCATGATCCTCATCATTTTCATCATCAACATAGGCCATATTTTCTTGAGATGCTTCAATATAAGGATCATGATCCTCACTATCACCGGTGTGAATCAATTTAGAAAAATTGACACAATTAAAATTCCAAACATCTCTTTTGAACCCTCTATCACGAGTAGTGTCATCCCACTGGCATTTGAAAAGCACAACCTTGAACCAGCCATAATAATTAAGCTCAATAATATCTTCCGGCTTCCCATAATATGGTAAGTCTGCTTGCCTCGCATTTCTATCAGCATTAGATGCAATGCAATAAGTGTCAGAAATAAGAAAAACTCCACTATTTTGAGTTTGCAATCCTTGTTCTCTAGACAAAATCCAAAATTTGAATCCATTAATGTTATAAGCCGTGAATCTTTTTGCATTTGGCGCTGGACCTTGTGCTAAGAACTTCATATCATCAGATATTGTGTCTGATATATCTGGATTCATAATCTAAATACAACAAATAATTTTGTCAAAATTTATAAATTAAAATAAGAAAGCTATGAAAACACATTCTAATACGATTCACTCACTCGCTTTGGAAACCAATCAGAGAACTCTTTAGTGACTCTTCTCTATACCTCTGTTGTTGAAGGTCTTCGCCCTCTTGAACTGCTTTTGATGTGTTGCCTAAATTCACTAAAGAAGATTTATACGTATTAATTAAATTCACGTTACTCTTAAAACTTATTTCATATATCAAATAAAATTAAATTTCTTACTCAATAGATGGCTTCACTGCAGCACAATAGAGTAACACATAGCGATGAGCTTGAGTTTTCTCCAAAGGAGTCATGGGGAATGTTGTGGAGCCTCCAACAAATTTACCTTGTTGAGGGAACATAGATGGCCTTTCAGAAGCCTTGCTATGATTTGGTTCATCACTTACACGTTTAGGCCTATTTACTCTTGACTAAATATCCTCAAAATACCGAGAACAAAGAGTTAGAGCTTCTTCAACTATGTAACTTCCAGCTATAGAACCTTCTGCTTGTGCTTTATTTCCTACCAGGGACTTCAAATGACCTAAGAATCTGTAACAAAAAAGGCATCGTATTAGAACAAGTATTTACATTGAAACAATATTACAAGATCGATTAAAATAATTTCAAAAAAGAAATATTGTACTTTTTAACAAAATACATCCACCGATAATGTACTAGGCCACCTTGTATTACTTCATCCACTAGATGGACAGTTAAGTGTACCATTACAGTAAAAAATGATGGAGGGAACAACATTTCCAGGTGATAAGGAGTGATTACAATCCAATCTTGTAGCTTTTCTAGGCCCGAGAGGCTCAAGCTTTTCAGACAAAGATGTCTAAAAAGGAAGAAAACTCTACCAAAACTACAACGTGGTTTAGAAGCACATTACGAATTGCAATCGGCAACAATTATTCCATAATTATGTGACAATCATGGCTTTTTAATCCAAAGATTCGGTTTTGATCCAGATCAATACAACGAGATATACTACTTGCGTAACCATCCGGCATTGAGATATTCTTTAAAGTTGTTAGGAAAGCTACTTTCTTCTCTTTTGGAATTGTAAAAGCAGTAAGCCGATAATCACCTTTCTCGTCTGGCCAAAGATCACGCCTTATACCCATATCTCGTAGATCTTTTCGAGCTTTAACATGATCGTTTGATTTTTCTTATCATTTAGCAAAGAGTATATAATATTATCATACACACTCTTTTCAATATGCATAGGGTTTAAATTATGGCGCAATGAGTTGAATTCCCTATATGGAAGACTAAAGAATATGGTTTTTTTCTCCATTGCTGAGTTACATCTTCCCCAACACTCTTTTGCCTATTTCTTTTTCTTTTATCATTCAACTCTGCTGGTTTTCCAAATGTAATATCAATATCTTTCACTTGTTATAAAATGTCGGACCCAGATAACTTATTTAGAGGGGTCCTCTCTTTCACATTTCCATCAAAGCAAAGCTTCATCAATCTAAATTTGTGATTTCTTGCCAAAAATCAACGATGGCCAATAAAGCACCACTTTCTACTATGCCGAAGTCGACAAGGTTCTGTATCAAAATTATAAGAGGGACATGCAAAACCGGTATGTGTGTTCCAACCAGATAAAATATTAAATCCAGAAAAATCACTGATTGTCCACATAAGAGCTTTTCGCATTCTAAACATTTCATCCTTTGATGAATCAAAAGTTTTCACACCTTCACTCCACAACTCATTCAACTCCTTAATAAAGGGTTGCAGGTATACATTTATATTATTCCCCGCCGTACATGGACCTGGAATAATCATTGAGAGGATAAAATTTGGTTGCTTCATACACAACCAAGGTAGAAGATTATATGGAACCAAAATCACTAGCCAAATGCTATAATTAGTACTCATCATCCCAAAAGGGTTAAAACCATCACTAGCTAGGCCTAATCGAACATTTTGAGGATCAGAACAAAATTCAGGAAACGTTGTATCAAACCTCTTCCATGCCTCACCGTCTCTAGGATGCCTTATGATTCCATCTTTGTTACCATCCTCCGCATGCCATCTCATATGCTCTGCCGTCTTAGAACACATGAACAATCTTTGTAACCTTGATTTTAATGGAAAGTAATGCAGAACTTTTGCAGGCTTCTTCTTTTGCTTCTTATTTGTAGCAGACTGCTTCTTCTTACCTGTAGCAGACACAAAAATTTTGTTGCTTTTCTTATCAGGCTTCCACCTAGAAGTGTGAGAATACTTGCATTTTTGCTTATCAATATCATCTTCCCAGCATAACATGCAGTCATTCGGACAAGCATCGATCTTAACATAATCAAGACACAACTTATTGATGGTATTCTTGGCCTCATAAAAATAATTAGGGATTTTTGCAAATTTAAATGCATCCCTAGGTAGATATAGTAGCATAGTCATTACCATGTCACTTAGCCCAGACAAACACTTTATGTGATATAACTTTAACAAAAACTCTTAACTTTGAGTACTTGGACCCTTCGTACAGTTCTTGATTTTCATCTCTAAGCAAATAAAAAAGTCTTTGTTATATGAAGCTGGCATTTCGTTTAAGACTTCTTCTTCTCTCACTACTTGTGAGAGACCTACATCAATGCTCTCATATCTTAAGCCCCCAAATTCTTCATTAATCAATAATTCTATAGAATTTTCAGGAGGTATTGTATCACTGGTAACCTCTATGTTGTTAGAACTGTGCACCACATTCATTTCCACATGCATAACCCAAGTGACATAATTTTGAGGGAATGATTTGCAGACTAAATGGTCAAATACTATATCTTTAGTCTTCCACTTTCTAAAGCCACATTTAGGATATGGACATTTTATTCTATCTCTTATAGCTCCATTCTTAAATGCAAATTCTATAAATTGATTCAAACCAAGCAAATATTCATGTGTGTTCCTCGACATTCTAGTCCAAGACTTATCCATTGAAAAAACGATTAGTGTGAAACAATATTACCTACAAGATTTTCAAAGCCATAAGATTAGAGACATATTTTAATACTTTATAAGACAACAAAAAGTAAAGGTAATGTTCTACTAATTATCTAGCATGATAAGATCAACTGAGAATGCTACAACATGCTACTTAATTTTTCCTTAATTGACTACATTACAACAAGCCTTTTGCATTAAATAGCAAGCTCGTCGACGCAATTAGTAAATTAAATGACAAATGTAAACAGTAATAGAAACACAAAAGTTTACAAACAAACAATCAATCATTTTCTAGAAGCGGTGAAAAGAAAAGAAATCAAGCACGATGAGATTAATAGAGTTAAAATAGATGTTAGCATATTCTAACAAGTAATAATATAGTAATATAGTAATGCTAAAAAATAATATAGTAATGCTAAAAAATAATCTATCTAAAACCAAGAAGGAGAAAGAGTAAAACTTCATTCTCATTTTATACAAAAATATGCCACTTGACTAATTAACAAACTGAAAAATAAAAATAGAGCATCATCACAAAACCAAAATTATACATACATGTGCCTAGGTATCTGCCATGAACATACATGTAAGAATCAAGTAAAATGAAGGTTATAATTAGGCATACCAGTGCAGTAATTAAAGAAATAATGGAGAAAAAGCTTACCAAAACTGAAAAACACAGAGACAAATCAATTTTTTGGTGAATGTTTTTTACATTACAGAACATGAAAAAAGAAGCATAAAAAAAATACATTAGGATATTGAGGCAATAAAGCAGATTGCATGCCAGAAAATTCTAGGTTTATTGAGAAATCAAGCTAATAAATTGCATAAAATCAACATAGAAACCCCAAATCAACCAAAAACTCCAAATAAATAGATAAACCTCAAATCCAACAGAGAATACCCAAAATAACACAAAAATAAAGTGAAAACCCACATGCAATTTACAAAATACAAAAATACCTGGTTACACAAAATTAGAATCGGAGAAGATGAAAGACAAATTGCAAATAAACAAAAGAAGAAATTACTGTAATTGGAAAAACTTGACTGCTACGCTCTTTCAATACTGTAATAGAGAGGCTGCCGCTTGGAGACTATAGAGAGAGAGTGAGAGAGACGGGAAAGTGGAAAAGCAAAATGAGGTCTAAAAGTTTTGGGGGAGAAACAAATGAAGGAAAACAAAAATATAGTGGGAAAAATTGGAAGCTTGGCGCTCTTTTGCTTTTAATGTACCAGATCCCCCATCCCCCCTCTAAATTATAATTAATTGCATCAGCTAGAGAAAGTCCCACAATTTGATACAATCTGCGGGAGTTACCGATGAATGCTGCTAATTAAGTGCCGCTATTTGACCCTTTTTTGTAGTGAATTCTGAAAAGATTGTAAATTATTTTGTGATTTGATACTACAAGGCAGTACCTCGATAGTAACTCTTGTAGATACTTCTCTATTGTTTCACTTGTGTTTGATTGTTTCATTTCCTTGGCATAACATCTTGTAATGACCCGGCCGGTCGTTTCGGGAGTTATAGCCATGTTTCCCCCATTTCTGTTTCCCTTATGCTCTTAAGCTATATTATGATATACCGGGTTAGTTGGTTCGGGTCCGAAGTGGTTTCGGAGTGGAATGAGACACTTAGTCTCTAAAGTAGAAGCTTAAGTTGGAAAAAGTCAACCGGATATTGATTTATGTGTAAACAATTTTGAAACTTAATTTTGATGGTTCCATTAGCTTCGTTAGGTGATTTTGGACTTAGGAGTGTAGCCGAAATATGATTTGGAGGTCCGGAGTGGAATTAGGCTTGAATTGGCTAAAGTTGGAAATTTAGCGATTTCGGTTAGTAGTGAAAAATTTGATATCGGGGTCGGAATAGAATTTCGGAAGTTGGAGTAGGTTCGTAGAGTCATTTGTGACATGTGTACAAAATTTTAGGTCATTCGGACGTGGTTTGGTTGGTTTCGGCATCGGTTGCCGAATTTGGAAATTTAGAAGTTCTTAGGCTTGAATCTGAGGGCAATTTGGTGTTTGGATGTTGTTTTGAATGATTCGAAGGTTCGATTAAGTTCGTATGGTATTTTAGGATTGGTTGGTATGTTTGGTTGAGGTCCCGGGGGCCTCGGGTGAGTTTCGGGTGGTTAACGGATCGTTTTTAGACTTTGCAAAATGGCTGATATGCTGGTATGAACTTTCTGGTTTCCTTATACGCGATCGCGTGGTCAGGTCCGCAATCGCGTAGTCTTATTTGGGGAGAGGCGAGTTGTTCTCTGCGATCGTAGAGTTTGGGATGCGATCGCGTGAGTGTGTGAAGTTGTGCTTCGTGAACGCATGTCCAGTGCCGCGTTCGCATAGAGGTATCGAGCTCGTGAAGAGGTGAGGTGATTTCTCTACGCGATCGCGTGAGGTAGGATGCGATCGCGTAGGTTTGACCAGTTAGTATTATGCGTTCACGTGAGGTATTACGCGTTCGCATAGAGTTAATTTCTGAGGGGGCGAAGTTGTTCTTCGCGATCGCGAGGACTCTTCCGTGATCGCGAGGACTCTTCCGCGATCGCGATTAAGGAAAATCTGGGTAGCATTGTTAAATTCCAAAATCGAGGGTTTGGACTCATTTTTAATATTTTGAGCTAGAGACCACGGATTTAGGCGATTTCTGAAGGGATTTTCAGGGAGTTGATTGGGGTAAGTGTTTCTCACCTGGTTTTGGTTAAATTCCATGATTATATCTTGATTTTTATCATCTAAATTATGATTTAGGGTGAAAATTTTGGGAAAAAGTGGAAGAGTTCTTGAGATGGAATTTTGAGGTTCTGAAGGGGATTTTCTTGTCAGAATTTGGTAAATTTGGTATGACTAGACTCGTGAGTGAATGGGCTTTTAAGTTTTGTAAATTTTGTCGGATTTCGAGACGTGGGCCTAGGGGCGGGTTTGAGCCAATTTCGGATTTTGGGCTAATTTGATAGTTTTTCTTGTGGAATTCATTCCATTAGCATATATTGATGGTATTGTACTGATTGTGAATAGATTTGGAGCATTTGGACGCCGAGTCAAGAGGCAAGAGCATTGCGGGGTAGAGATTTGACCGGTTTGAGGTAAGTAACGATTGTAAATCTAGTCTTGAGGGTATAAAACCCCGGATTTCATATCATTTTACTATTTTGAAGTGACGCACATGCTAGGTGGCGGGCGTGTGGGCGTGCACTGTTGGAGATTGTGACTTGGTCCATCCTGTAGCAACTGTGAAGTTGCATATTTAGTTGAAACTATATGATACCTATATGTTTTAGAAAGTGTTTCTGTAAATTGGGCTGAATGCCATATTT